TAATAATCCATATTTAGTCGTTTTAAGTAACGTGCAAAAATTTAACTTTTAAACTTTAAATGCTTCTGCTAAATTAAAAAAAAAATAGTATTATTTATTTTATCATTATTGAACTATATGCTCGAAATCTTTAATAGGGGTTTAGGCTTCACAATTCATTTTTCTAAAATTTTTCTTTTTAATTTGTTCTACATTGTGTATTCTTGTTAGACAGAAAAATGATTTACCTCTCATTTGTCATCCATTATCCATTTTAGTCTCTTCAAACTGGTACAGGTAGACAATCTTAAACCTAATCCCATATTGGGTGATCAGAAATGACCATGGTAACATCAAAAACAACAGCAACAAGAATAACTAAACATCTCAACTTACGGGTAATATATAAATTCAATCTTATGCATCCCTGCTTCTGTATCGGATAATCTCAACTCCGAGGTAGTCCACAGAACCCTCAACAGCAACGTGCGGTTTCCCAACTTTGACCCGGACAGCAGATACCTGTGGGTGCTTATTGAGAGTGGTTGATGCAATGAGTTGAGCAGCTGACTCTAGGAGGTTATAAGGTATTCCTTCCATTACTCCCTTAGCTATACTGTTAATCCACAAGTTCAAACCATCAGAAAGGCATAAAGCATATCTTGCAGATTACTTATTACTTCTGGCTTTACAGTTAAAAGAGATGCATATAACATATCATCACATACTGCCTATAAACTCGAAGTTTTTATCATCTTAATCTAATTTGCGTTATCTCCTAGTTGAATCAATTGTATTACAATATATTCTACACAATTTTTTTTTTATTTCTTCCAAATGTAGCCTAAATGGAAGACTACATTGAATGAATTCTATAAATCAAGACACAATTCTTCAACTTCGCAGACTTCTGAACCCAGATAGGTAGCCATTGCTGCATAGCAGGCAAACTGTAATTCGTACTGATAACCAATAATACCCAAACCATAAACATATTGTTTGGATAAACATATTGAACGGACATACAGATACCTATGCAGATAAACTTAATGATCTTAACACAGCATCTCTTTTATTTGTAAACCATGTATCATGTTCTGAATTCATAAATGAACAACAGTAATCATATTCTGAATCCACAAATTATCAGATAATTTAACATTAACATAAGGTTCATAAACACTAAAACTAAAGAATGTTGGCTGAGAAGATAGAATCATAGAAGCATTTACACGAGGAAGACACGGTTGTGTTATTGCTCACCGGTAAATATCAGTATAACTAACTGTATCTGCAATATCATCAGATTTACCAGCCTTCCGAAGATCCATCCACGCATCCACATCTACCAAGAACTTTTGACCCAGCTTCCTCTCTTCAAGCTTCACCCCATGGAAACCATGGAACTTCAACCCTCTTAGTATAAGTTTGTCTCCCCTTGGCATTTCAAAATCTTCCATTTCTGGTTCTGTTGAATAACCGTAATTAACTACACCGAAAAGTGTATAAATATTCAAAGAGTAGTGAAAGTGATTTCATGTGGTCAATATCTGGTAAATTTACACGAGCTACCTACAAAAAGAGCTGGACCTGAAGCAAACTCAAACAAAAATTCAATATTGAGCTCAGATAGTCCCACCATGTTGAGCTTGAGTTTGGCTCAAAGTTGGTTTCAGGCTTTTTTAGGAGCTCGAGCTCAATTTGATAAATGTATTTCTAAGCTCAAATTTGATTTGAGCTTCATTTTTTTAAAATAGAGGTAAACTTCATCGAAACTCAATCTGATTTAATCTTTACAACAAAAGATGAAGTTGCTGACAGTAGCATAAACTCCGCATTTACAGGATTACATTTACAACTAAAGCCATGAATATGCAATAGCAACTGAGCAGAGTTTGTGTAAAGGAGATGAAGATTAGAATGCAAAATGAAACCCTAGACTAATAAGTCCAATTCTCCAAATTTTCATAAACAGCAAGAGATTTTCTCTCTTTGAAATGCTCCAAGAAAAACAGAAACCAGAATTAACACTAATGCAATAATCCACTAATTGATATTCTTTTCAATCCTAATTTTACAAAGCGCATCTAGACTTCAGCCATTTCTCATAACATCTAAACCCTGTTTCGTCAAAACACTGCCAAGTCCCAACTTTAATGCTTGTTATCTATTCAATGGCGCGAGAAGCAAAATTCAAACTGCAGGATCAGTTCTCATTCAAACAATTCATCAAGCACATGATGCGCATACATTCAAGTATCCCAACAAAGTTCGAAAAAGAATACAAATAAACACAACAAAATCGACGAAGGCAGAGACACAAGCAATCTTCCGCCAGAAAAACGGGAGCAGAAAAGAAGAAGTCGATACCAGTAGAGGTGTTGTAGATGGCGAAAATACCCTCCAATCGACCTTTTCACTATACTCAGAGTGTCTTAGTAAGGACCATCAACGAGGGAGTGCACAGCTAAACTATCGGGAAGGGAGGAAGATGGCGCGCCACTAGACCGGAAATAAAGACTGCTCTTTTATAGACCATTAATATGGTCTGAATCACACAATAATTATTCACTTAACTGGGCCGCAGATGATTAATTGGGCCTGACAATCGGGCCTTTAAGCCCAATTGGGCCTTTCTGTGTGACATTTAAATATTTTTAAATAATTAAAAACTTTATTTTAAAATAAATCATATTTTATAATTAATTACCGTGTCAAATTAAATTTCAACTTTAAAAATTGTATTCTTCTATGTTTTCTGAAGATGGAATATATATATATATATATATAAAATTCAAATTCCAATTATTAACTTTACGGAATAAAATTTTGTGATCTAGATCAAATTTATTCCGATATGTTATTCTCGAAAACTATTTTTTATTTAAAAAACTTGTAATTTTTATTCATAAAAATGTTTAAAATCAAAAAAAATTCAACTCGAACCAAATTAAATTCGACCAAACTAATCGAAACTATTTTATGTATTATTTTGTATCATTTATATATTAAAAAGTTATTTGATTAAACCAGTTTGTTGCGATTCAATTAATTTTTTATGTTGAAAAATTAATCAAATTTTAGTTAAAAATTGAAGTAAATTAATTTAATTAATTAACCACAATAATTTTTTAAATCGATCGTGTGTTTAATGCTAATGACGTAGGTAAAACTAATATTAAATTAATATTTTTATATGTCCTAGAATGTTAAATGTGAATTAGGGCACTAATTATAGGAGTTTAATGCTAATTATTTATTTAAGAAAGTTGATTATTTTACAATATTTTCACTGATTAAATTAAAAATTACTATCGATAATCAAGTTCTTTAGCTCCCAGGATGGCTCTTGTAAATTTCATCATACCATATTTCGGGACCCCATTGGAGGATACATTCGAGGGAGATGTGCCCACTGCAATCAAAAACAAAATTAACCAGGTTAATTAATTAATTAATTAGTAAGTAAATTACTCTTACCAACTCATGTTACTAAGCATATTTGTTATTTAATTAATTAGTCGAAATCATTTTTAACTTATTCTCTAAAGATATTTAACACAAATAAAAAGTGTTATAAATCAAATTATAACGAGATAAAATTAAATATTAAATTGTAATTATGTCAAACTTTGATTATTAATTTGATGATTAATCTTGTTTAAGAAGAACCCTAATGCTGATCTCGTAATTAAAATTAAACGGTAATTAATTACTTACATTTTTTGCTGCAGCACTGAAAGCTTCTCTATGACTAATGTCAGGATTGTTAGCTTTTATCCTCTGGATTTCCTCTCTACTCAAGATTATACATATATATATGTATATATATGTATATATATGTATATATGTATATATGGGTCGGTGTGAAAGCAGAAGAGAAATATACATAAGTCTTTTTCTTGTATATGTAAATAAATTGTAGATAATTAGCATGATTAAATTAACGAGTAGATATTAATTAATTAGTTAATCAGGGATTTAGTTACTTACTTAATGAACCTATTGTATGCTGAAGGAACACGTTGTCTCTTCTCCATGGCTGATAAATCATCAATTCAGAATTAACAATATCATCATGAGATTATTGGTAGTTTAATCAATTTATATCTTTATTATATACGTATATATACATATATATATATATGCAAAAAATGACACTAAAAGTGTTCTTATATATGCGAAATTAAGAACAATCATGATTAAGCAACTAATTAAACATGGTCATGAGGTTTCTTATTGAATGCTTGCAGCAACTGTATACACACATGCATACATATATACGTATATATATATATATATATATATATATAGCTTGCCTTCATAGAGGTTAAACATTTGTCGTTCGTAGTTAATCAAACTTAGTTGTCAATATATAATGATCTAGATAGAGAGCATGCATGATCTTCAAGCCCTTAAGCGTATATTGTTATTTTGTTGACGTATATATTTGCTTATTATATATATATATATATATATATGATGTTATAAATTAAAAATACATATAGAGAGAGAGAGAGAGAGATGCATGGAATGGTATTACTGACCTTGTGGGGAGATTGTTTTGGGTTGATGTTCAGCTTTTGAACTAATTCTTTTACACCTGGAAGATGACTCAGACTCCTCACCACGCAGTTGTTTCTGCAGAATTAGTATGTCCCAAAACCAAGATATTAATCCATTAGTAACTACTTACAATATATACACACACATACACAATATGATATGATGAATATATGTATATATATAGAGTATAAATATTTATATATAGAATAATTGAAATAGAAACTAATGGCTATGTTTCGGACATTGGAAATCTGAAGCTGAGCAGGCTTTGGTGGCAAAACTCCCACATCGAAAGACAGCAACTTTCCACAATGACCACACACAATTGTCACTGCATTATTCAACATGGTATAGCTTGGAACACTCACCTGCATTAATGTATATATTTATGTATGAATAATTAATGAATAAGAAGGAAAGACAGACACTATACATACGTACACCTATGGATATTGATGAATCCTCGCCTAATTACATATATGTGGCACTTATAATTGAATTTTTAGATGTGTATATATATATATATTGATATATAAAGCTTCTGATATTTACCATGATCACCAAGAATTCGTATATAATCTGTATATCCACAGAATATATATATATATATATATATATATATATGTAAGTGCGCCTGAAAGAATGGGCACTGAAAGTCTGAAGCTGTAAAAAGCAGATTAGCAGAGAAAGGGACAGGACTAGGAACAGCATAAGGCCAGCAAGAAGATGAGGACAACACCAGGCACGGCTATGGAGCAAATTAAACAGCTAGCTACCACATAATCAATATATGATTAAAGAAAAATCTGTCAGCCACCATACATATACATGTATATATATGTCTCTGTGTGTGTGTGTATACATATATATATATATATTCATCATGATTTCATGAGATTGATATACATTGCTCTAATCAAAGTAGCTTTAGTGTGATACCATTAATTAGGTTAGTTTTATATAATATTTTGTTGAAAATGTAAAGAAAAATAAGAAAAAATTAATTAAAAAACTCAATTTTAATTTTTGTGATTATCACAAAACATTGTAGAATAAATAAGTATATATAAACACTAATACAACTCTTAAAATTTTAAATACACATAATATAACAAAATTTTAATTCAAAAATCATAGTTAAATGTAAGATATAAAATTTAAAAAATATATATTTAAATATAATATATGTAACTTAAGTTTGTATCTCTGACTCTCTAATAAAATAATTACTTTAAACATCTTGAAATTTCAAAGAAGTCCTCATCTTTCATCAGACGATAAAAGGAAAAGCAAAGCAATGGGAAGTACCTTTCAGTAAATTTCTTTATAAAACCCATCCAGTAACTAATGTCCATCAAACAGAATTTATATGTACATATACATATATATATATATATGTATCTCTATGTATTGAAGAACAAGATTCCAGCTTAATTAAGATCTGTATATCATAATTAAGACAAAAAAAAATGACAGAGACAGTAAAAGAATAAAAAAACCTAAAAGTAAAAACAAAGTATGATAGATATAGTTTCATACAGATCATGATCAGAGAAAGAAGATGAAAGACATATATACGAACAGTAGCTTTTATCATCATGATGTGATCATAACTTGTCAAAAGACAAGACATTGAAGAGAACCCAAGAACCCTAGGTTTTGTACCTTTCCTATATATATATATATACAGACACACCCATACGAGTCATGACCTCCATGGAATCCTTCTGTCATTTCGGTGAAAGTAATTCACACTTAACTCATCATGACCCAGAAGTACATAGACATATACACACACATATATATACATAGATGGATAGATTCTAATCCTATAGGTGGTTATGCATATATAATATTGGTGTATATGTGTATATGGGGGGGGGGGGATCAAAAAGCTCGGTGCTTGAGGGAGAGAGAAACTTACCCTCTTCGTGAAATTGAAGAAAACAAGTAGTCATTATAGGTGAAACCCTAATCTTTGATGTATATTTTGGTGCCAGCTTTCACGAAGATAAAAAATAATACAACTGCAAGAATCTTCTTATAGCAAGCCGTACAGTCAACCGAGTTGGGGGAAAAGCTTTACAATTAATAAAGCCTATGGAAGGAAGTAGCTTCCTGCCTACTAGGGTTAATTTATGAAAGCTGATTTCCCACACACACATACATACATGTAAACGAATATATATATATATTGGAAATTGTGTATATACCGCTAAGATGGTGTTGCAGAAGTTGCAGTGAGCATAGCAAAGACGAGCAGAAGCAAAGTGATCCAGAGACATGATTAAGTTTCGTGAAGAGAAGAATCTTGAAGAGATGATCAGATGATATATATATATATATATGTATGTATGGTGTGTGTATATCTATATATATAATTCTATGAGGATGAATTAAAGTTTGGGATTGGTGTAGTGGGGGGGGTAAGAAGGAACATAATGAGGAGAGGTGGTGAATGATGAGTGTGCAGGGAGGTTGTATAGCAGTGTTGTACTATAGTGATGTACGATTTATGATGAATGAGTGGTGGGTGTTTTCAAACTAAACAATCCAAGTGGGTTTTTTTTTTTTTTTTTTTTTAATTTATTTTAATTGTAAGATTAAATAAAATTATATTTCTATATAAATTTTGTATTTATTTCCATTATAAAATTAAAATTTTCTTACATAATTTTTTAATTTCACATATATTTATATTAAATTACATTTTTTATTTTCAATTTTAGCATTTGTGCCAAATTAATCATTCTATTTAAAATATATATAATTTTAATTTCGAAATAAATTATAGAATTTAAAATAATAAATCATAATTATTATCTCTAATAATTTTAATTTAAATCAGATAGAAACCTAGTTTGGTAATATACATATATATGTGTGTGTATAAATAATTAATGTGACACTGATTTTTTATTCAATAATTATAATAAATATAAACGAATTGATTTAATCAAAAGAGGGTTTTTTCTGGTTTTACCAAATTAAAGAAAATGGGATTTCTCTGCATGTCGGGAAAATTAAAGGAAATAACTTGGGTTTTAATTTAATTTCTCTTCTTAATTTCAGTGTCTATATATATATATATATATGTGTGTGTGTGAATGTATTAAATTCCTTGGTACTAAAAAAGGAAATTCCAATAGAGAAAGAAACACGTTTCACCATCCAATGTCAAAATATCTCCCTAATTTTAATGACATTTCGTACCCAACTCGGTTTATTATTGTTTTTTATCAATTTAAAAATTTTTCTCATCAAGTACATTCTTAGTTAAAAAAAGGTTCGTAATATTATTAACGAGACATTATTAAAAATTATTCGGTAGAGACCTGTCGATAAAAAAATAAAAAATTAATATTCACCGATCAGTCAGAAACATTTGTTTAAATCGTCGTTTAGCGATAAAATAAAAAATTTAAATGACTTTTTAATTATTTAATTATTATTTCAAAAGTGTGTGATGAGACATAATCGATTATAATCAAATTAAATATATTAAAAACTAAAATAATTAACTATAGATTATATAAAAAAATATATATATTAAGTAATTATAATTATAATTTTTCTTAAACGGAGGAGGACGAATAAAGTACTTAAATTACGGGAATGTTGTTTTCGAAGCCAAAAAAGAAAATGAAATATTTTTTTGGACACGGTAACGTGACATTCAAGATGAGTCCTCTGACAAATTGGGCTACACAGCACATCCATCACAACAGTAACTAATAAAACTACCTACAAAATGGTATTAATACATTATGTTGATTTTTTTCAGAAAGAAATACATATATACATAATTTTAGTCTTAATAATTTTTTTTTTTTTTTTTTACTCACATTTTTAAACCATCGTAACTACTTCTATCAAACGCCTCAGAAGATTATTTTCAACTAAAAAGTAATGTAGAATGAAACCAACTTTACAGCAGTCACGGCTCAGATTTACGAGAGCTTTTCTTTTTCTATCTCTCTCTTTATTTTCAAGGAGAATTCGCATTTGCATGTTTAGAATTGGATCCACTCCAAGGTTTTTGCGATCTTCATGGAGGGAGACAGCTGCATCAGTAGCAGCCGGCTACTCTTTTCCTTTTACCTTTGTCTCTTTAGTTTCTTTCTCGTTTTCTTTTTCTGTGGAACCAAAAAAAAAAAAAAAAAAAAGAATAAGAATCAATCTTTTAAAGGAGAATGGCGGATACCCCGCTGCCTGTCACGACACCATCAACACAACCTGCTTAAAGTCGATTTTTCGTGCATTTCGAAACAAATTCCTCACAGTTTTCCATTGTCAAAAGTTCCTCCTGCAATACTTACCAGGGTTTGTTTCCACATGAAAAAGAAAACACAATATCTTAAAATTAATATATATGTATATATTAATATAAGGCGGTAGAAGCCTGAGAAACCAAGAAATATTATAGATTCATCGTTAAACTCGTGCGTTTCCAGGGAAGGTGAAATGTCTATGCATCTATTGTCAATTAAATGTCCATGATTTTTCACCCTTAAACGAGTGTACAAGTAACAACATAAGGGTACTTGCCAATGAAAATAACTAACCAATTTTGGTGTATCCTTTGAGGCTGTACAGTATGAAATCCTTCATTCCTTATCTGCATTTCTTTTTTACTCTGAACTATACCCACAATGGCACCACTCCTACCAATAAAGCTTTGTAGGACGGAAGCTGAGCTCTAAATCAAATTACAAAGTCAACCGTACAAACAGGTAAAGGCTACGTATCTGGGATTCTCCGATAGAACAGTACATAAGCAGCGGAAGTTTTGATATCGTCCTCACTGATGGGGGACACACTTTCATCGTCAAATTCATACCACCTGCAACGCTGGTGCTGCAACCGAGTAGTATACATTGGTTAAACATGGATCAAACTATCTTACTTATAAAAACAAATTGAGCCGAAAAATAAAACATGATCTGTAAGGCAAAAGTAGATCACCTTAAATACATGTGCATTAAATAGAAATTCAATAAGCTATTAATTCCTTTTACAGTTAATTCCATCGCAAACTTCATTTTGTACACTCTAAAGCACCCGCTGAAATTAATACTATGGGAAGAAATTCAACTTCTCCAAATCATATGCTCCTTTTATTGAAATAAATAATTACCTCTAAACCAAAATGCACATGAAACAGATTACAATCAAATAATAATTTTAGACCATCATAAAAAACTGCAGATCATATTATACTGATTCTTAGATGGACTAGAAGACTAGTCAAATATTCAGGTTAAATTCTTTACGAGATGCAATAAAAAAAAAATTGTGGAAAACAACAAAACACTACTTACAGCAACAGATGCAGTATAGTGACCCCCTCCCATTCCACCATAGTGATTACTCATTGCATACAGCATATAATGATTTGATGATTGTCTGTTCTTATGGGTAATGTAACCGGAGAGATCAAGATCATCAACTGGAAAGTCAACAAATGTTTCCAGCTTGTTCTTAAAAAATCGGCTGTATGAGAACCTCTTTAAGTGAATAACCAAAATTTCAGGCAATCTCCACAGATCTAACTTTTTGATTGCTTGTCGATGCTTCTTGCAGTTTGGGCAGTACCTAAAATCAGACAAAAATATCTAGTATCAAAGAGGCATGAAGAATTAAGCACCCCATAGTTACACACAGGCCAGTTGAAGATAAGCATGGAAAAGCTTTTGTCTCATCAGGAGATAAACATGGTTTACCTGAAATTTTCTAATTTACAGCTCTTCTGGGAAGTAAAAGAAACAGCACATGACAGAATGTTTGATAATTGAGGAGTAAAAGATTTGTAGCCAACATAAGAAATACAAAAGAGATCCATACTGACCACATATCTTCTGGTCCTAGAGGCTCTTCCTTCAAGAATGCTTCAAGACATTTGTACAAAGATACAGACTCCTGGGGCTTCCTCGTGAAAATCTGGGGCTTGAAAACCTCTGGCAATGAGCTGAGAAGATATGTATCATATTTTTCATTCATATTATCTTTCCAGAAAACAACTATATCCAGCCTTTTCATGACCCTTGGGATCAGCAGTGGTTCATCCATCTTTATCTCCATTAAGTCCATTTTATCAACCATCAAGTAGAATTGAAAGTCAGTGTTCAAACGACGCCCATCCCCACTCTCAATATCAGAGCTTCCCTCACTGTCTGAAACTGAGGGGTTAATGGTATCCTCCATTGCAGAATCTTCATTAGCACCATCATCATATTCTAATACATCTTCAACAGGCATCAAAAATGGACCAAGTAGTTTCATAAATAGGCTACAAATATTGGGACCACTCGGAAAATCATTCAACCTTGCTACAAGAGGAATACCAAAAAGTTTCAAATTTGGAGCTGTCTTCCCAAAGCTGGAATACCTAATACCCAAAAGTTAAATAAATAAATAAACAGAAAATCCCGACTCTGAAATTGATGAGATACAAAACCTCAATGATCTTTAAGGACATGAAAAGAAGTTAAGACAATCCTTTTAAATAATATTTATTAAAAATATAGCAAATTACAGTTTCACCCCCTTTAGTATGGGTTAAGTGCAGTTTAATCCCTATAATAATTTGAGACAGTTCAATAGTTTGTATTTTGTTTTTTATCATTATATGTAAAATCATTCACCTTTTTATTTTTTAGTTTTTTTTCTGATTTTAATTTATTTAGCCTTAAACTTCTAACTGTCCCTGTTTAGAAGTCCAGACAAATAGAAATTTCCTCTAAAAAGTTGACATATTTATATAAATGCCAAAAAGTCAAACCACAGGGTACCAAACTGTCGAAAAAAGTTCGCAGAGATTAAACTGCAATCAGGCCAAAATACACAGGTGAAACTATATTTTGCCCCTTGAAAATAGAAAAGGTACCAAACACAAAAGTTGCATCAAGCCGCTTATGGCTGCTTGGCTTTTGAAGATTTCAAATACTTTGTATGTGTTAAACCTGGCGCTTATAATGGAGCTAGGTACAGCTGATTATTACGCAAATGTGCTGGGTCAAATGGCAACTTTGCCTGTTTCTATCATGGATAACTGCTACCTTGACTCAGTCTTGTACAGCAAAATATTGTATTTCGCAGTAAAAGTTATTCAAGATAGTATTGCACTAAGCTATCACTTCATATAACATATAGACAAGTGTAAGTAAGCTTACGTTTCAACTTGATGATGCATGAAGACAACTAAAGGATATGCCTCAGTAGCTTTTGATAACCGATACGCAACCAATTTGTCATCATCCCGTATCAAGGCTAATGAATCAGAAAGCTCATCCAGCATGCGAAATATCTTGCTTCTGTATATCTACACATCCAAACACTAAATGTAAGACGCTGATCAGATAAACATGCACACAAATTGACAAAAAACCATTAATTGTCACCAAGATAATTTTTAGAAGTTAAAAAGGTTCCAAAAAACATGGATATACACAAAAACTAGTGATTTTTATATTAACTGTGCTCAGATGGTGTAATTTGACATGCTCTTGGTTATTAAGCGAGGAAAAAGTGTGTATCTCAGGCATTCATCTTAAAAATCTAATTAATCTGCTTTTGATAAGCCTATAATCAATCAGTACCTTCTTTTTTTTTCTTTGCTTAATAGTCCTACTTCAATTTCCCAACAGGTGCATAGCTCAAGACTCGAACCCTAATTCTTTTGTGGAGGAAGAGAAAAATAACATTACCACTTGTATGCTATGAACAAGGGAAAGATACAAGAAGTTCAGTGTCCAAAACATTGTTCAACAGCTTGCTATGGAAAAGAAAAGAATTGCTTAACAGCCAATGCTTCTGATCCAACAGTTAGCCAAAATGTGATCCCTTGATGCACAGGAACCAGTCACGACATGCAACAACCACTAGTAAAAACTATATATAACTTACCTCTGCTACCAAAAGGCTTTCATCATTTCTCAAAGAACATGCAATGCTTAGGGCCTCAATAAGATCCTTAAGCCTCCCACACTTTGGTACAGTTATTGTAAACGGACATGGCCTAGTAACCCCATCGGTGCTCAAGACAGTCAAAGTCATTTTCCGCATCGTTGTTGAAGGCAAAGGCAATGATAGGTACATAAAGGGATCAAATGTGACAGACACTGTCTTGCAGACAGGACAAACCAATGTCGACCGATACTGGCCCTGCAATTAAAGGCGGGAAAGGAAAGAACTACAATCATTCAATTGAAGAAACCAGGAACATTTGGACTCTATAATGAATTTAAGATGATGGCTGAGAACATCCTTTTAAATTTACTAAGCCATGAAAGAAGGGAATTAGAAGACTTCTGTCCACTATTTTTGGGGCGAAATGGGTCTCCCTTCCAAGTCTTTTGAATGTTCCATTTCAACAGGTTGAATGCTTTGGAAAGGGGCTGTCTTTCCCTGTTTGTCATGTTGTAATTGGAGAGAAATGCTAGCCCCTTTAAACATCTGCTTCCAACCAGTTTAACTGCTCAGAGTTATAAATGGTTTCCCCAGTGTCTCTTTGAGCTACCATTCATGATCTTATTTAGCTATTTTGCGAAAAAAGATTGAATTGTTAAGTTGTTGATGTTGGTTCTCTTTTCTTTTTTCTTTGTGCGAGGAGAATATACTTTTTCCCCTCTTTTAATAATTTTTCTCTTTTATTAAGAAAATGTTCTTTTCAAAGTGAAAAATAAAAAGATTATATTAACATGGGTGCAACGATGTACAAAAGATATTTACACGCCAATAGTAGATAAAAGATCTCTCCAAATCTTCTCCTCGGTTCATATTGATGATGCTACAGAAGTCTATGAGGACCCAGGTATGCCAAAATCTTACGTTTCTCCAAACAGACGTAAATTTGAAAAAAAAAATCAAAACAGACATGTAAAAATATCCTGTTGACAACTCAAATACAAAATAGTTTATTGTAAGACACACCTGGTACAAGTCAACTATGATGGAATCATTGCGAGCCAAATGATTTCGCCAATATTCTTCAGCTATTTCTTCGTCTAGACGGCCTTCAGCATCCCTCACTTCTATATATGGTTTATGTTTCACACGATTCAAATCTTCATGCAATCCATCCAATAAGAATGCAAGAAACTCCTGTGATACAAACCGTTGCACTTAAAAAAAGATTTATGCTCCAAAGTATCATGAAATATAGCAGTCCGTTACTGATATAAGAGAAAATTGATTAAAAATGAATAACTCCACTAACTTGAGAATCATGTTGGTTATAACCACTGAATTGAGGAGCAAACTTGGAAAGTTTTAATTTGAACTTTCCTGGTGCCACAGGAACAGCTCCAGGAACCCACAACTTTCTTAATAGTTCTCCAAAAGACAAGGCAAGCTTCCCCTGTACGGCCGGTTAACAGTAAATGCAAGAAGGTGAAAGAGAAACAAAAAAAGTTATCACAAGAGATATGATTGTATACATTCACCCCCAAAGGATTTTCATAATTAATCTCTTTCCAATAGTCTCCAAGAAAGAAATCGACAAGTTCAGGAGTGTGCGCCAAACACTGGATTGCACTGTTCATGAAACAAGTATTTCCAAGATTCTTTAATCCTGTCAAGCCTAATTGACCAACTCCTGTATAGCCATCAACAGAAGAAAAGAAATTTGTTAAGATCTAGTAAGAGTTTAAATGGTAACTATTCCCAATCATCTTAATCGAGCCGATACCAGGTAGGGATTCCAGCTGGGACATTTGTTCCATCCTGTCGTTTCTTTCCTCTGTAGAATCTGAAAATCCATAGACATACAGTCTAAGGTGAATCTGCATAGAGAGCATTCATCCAGGCATATGAATCCCACAAATGAACAACTAGATATCAACGGTAAAAAGATGGAAGCTTAAAAGTGAAAAGAAATGTGGAGGTGTAATAAGCAATTCACCACAATAAGAGTAACAACAGAATCGTAACATCAGCTAACAATCATTAATGTACAAGTACAAAACTACAAGCTCTGTTCTATTGCAATCAACTAAGAACTGTAGCTCTCATGGAAAGCCATAATTGGAGCATCTGGAACTAACACTTGGCCTAAAATATTGGAAAATATGTTAAAACTTGGCAAAGAATTTCAACAGAACAACATTGACATGCTCTGAGATTCAGCTAAAGTATTCCACTTTCAGGTAAGCGCTCAGTTATGCTTATAGAATATTAAATTAAGAAATTTTATGACATGATAAACTGGTCCCACCTGTCTTGATTGTCCAGGAGAATCAATAGACAAATTATTTCCATCATTCACAAAAAACTGGGATGTCCGCCCTGAGAAGTCCCAAATGTGTAACTGTAGAAAAATTATCAATTTGAAATTTAAACAACCATATCGGAATAAGAAACCAATCCGAAAAAAATCAATCATAACAAACTCACCAAGCCAGTTTTGGAACTGAAAATATCGCATGCCTTCTTGTAAGGGTCAACAAAGTTGTCCTGAAAGGTAATCTATAGTCAAAAACAATAGCCCCTACTCAAAAAGAAAACAATATTAAGAGTTAACACTTCGAAAGACGCAGCGTGTTTATATATAATATATGAGCTCAATCAACCCAATATGACTGTATAGCATCTGAGAAAAGGATGCAAGTATCAATGTACAGACACCATGTACCAAACTGTAAACCAAGTACAAGAATTTATGCTTGGGTCATCAGAACAGGAAACGATATAAAACATGTGAAGACCACAAAAAAACAAATAAAGGCATATTTACCATTCTTGCCAAGAAAGCAGAATGGCTATTGACAAGAAATACATAAACAACTGCAAGAATCAAACATGACTCTCAAAATATCCTGCTGTGCTGATCCTGAGTCCAATTAATTTCAAGGGAGAGTCCACAAAAAATGTTTAACTTTGCTAGAAATGTTTGGCATATTTAACAGAGAGGGTCGTGAACTAAAACCCATCTGTCACCTCCACAAAAAAACATGCTCATATTACACCAGAACATACCAATCTATTTTTACTAGATATTTCACAACATCATGGGATGTTTACCCAATAAGAGCGATTGCATTAATCCCATGACAGAATCTCAGTAGTCAAGCTAGGGTGAAAATATACTCAGCCATCCATCCTTTCCAATAATAGGCTGTGGTGATTATAAATCTACTACACCAAAGATGACGCACGAGACTATAACCATAATCAGTAGGATTTTCCAAAGCTATATTTCAGGCTTGACTGAGATGTGTATAAAATAAAATATCATAAACAGGCCTCAATATCTGACAAAACCTTTGGCAATATGTTTCAGAAGAATCTCACACTCCAGTATTAAGAGCTGACCAAGAAACCTAATTGAAACTTCTTCATTTATAGTTTATTCCAATTTCAACCCTGTTCATGGGGTACACACTAAGCAGTCAACAAATGCCAATTACATCAGTTACCATAAACATAAATTAGAAACCATACACTTTTTGGGTGTAGAGTTTCCATGTTAACCAAGTTAGAAACATAGAAACAATCATCAAGTTTCACAAAGCAACAACTGAGGCTGAATTCACAAGTAATTACTGGAACAGGACCTCAACAGTTGCACTTACCAAAACAACACGAAGAACAAAAGAAATCTTTTGTTAAGAAGAAAAAGAAATATAGTTAAGAGGCACAGGAGGTGCATACTATATACAAGAGATTTAAAGAAATTAGAAACCAAAATCTTAATAAGGGAACCCCATTTTTCCAAAATGGGATTCATGGTCAACAAACACTTGGGCAGGGAATCAATGATCTCTAGTCCTGTTAAAGTACAGCGTTTCCTTTTTCTGTTTTCATGAGATTAGCCTCCAGTTCAACACACATGTAAGTAGCAGTTTGCATGAAATTACTCAAATACGATACTATAGAATGTCTAAAAGAAGAAAACAACATTAAAAAGGGATTTGTTAACAATAATTCTCGCTAAGAAGGAAACCAGGAAGCTAAACTCATGAGCTTCCACAAATGGATTGGATTATTGATATCCAGCTTCTCAACTGTCACGCTCATACTTCGTATCTTGATTTGCCTTTCCTCACAAACAAGCACACACGAACAAGCAGTTAGCATTTCTAAGGAAAATCTCAAGGTTCCAACCTAACTCCTTTTTCTCTGTGAGCATCAGACTCACTCTGAAGATTACACGTGTCAACAGTCATAATGAATTCTTAAATTTGTATTTCTAAGAAAGCTACAACAGGTTAAAACACAAAACTAACCTTTAATTTGATGTTTACTACCAAGGAATTTGTTTCAGATGAAAGTGAAAGGCTAATTTGTAGAGGAAATATATTCTGGATATGATCTCGTGAGGCATAAAGGTCATCCTCTCCTGGCACTTTATGATCATTATGCCTATATAAAGAACAAAGAAGGACAAATGTTTAGTTATATGTAGATTTATGAGTTCCTAAAAGCTCAAATGAAACAATAATGATCTGCATACGTAGCAACAAGAAAACGACGCCTAGTCATGTCCATGAATGTTTAAAGAAGAGGCAGAAAAGTTAAGCAGTAATAAACTAATAAAGCAAGAATTCCTTCTGCCTCCATTTTGCCAGCAGCACACTAACCCCACATGCCAATTCATTTGCTAGCATTGTGGACATGGAAAAGAAATCTTGCTTTTTCCAAAACTTGTTTTGGTTTGACTTAGGTGTACAGTTTATCTACAGTTATATATAGTACCTAAGGATCCTTACCTCGGAAACAGGATTAATACATTACAAACAGAAAAACACTTAGTTCAGTAAAAGCCAGCATTGCCTAAGATCGCTCAACCTATTGATCATATCAGAGTGAAGCCAACGGAGGTTACCTGAATGCAAAACTTGCAACTCTCTACAGCTGGTTAAATTTGTAGAGTTACAAATAAAGAAATGTTAAGAGCCCCCCTAGTGACAATGGGCTCGAAAAAATCTGTGTAAACTAAACTTTTCTGTGGGAAATGCTGTGTGTAAAGGAGGCATCAATTTGATTGATTAATATACTGACATTGAAATTAGTGATTTATCACAAAAAAAAACAAACAAACAAACAAACAGGTAGCTCTAAGAGGCTCCACTTGACATGTATAATAAAAAAATCTCAAGCACGAAAAGAAAGATGAAACAAAATACCATCAAGACATCTTCCCTCACCATTTTAGTGCCCGAACCCACATTGCTTCAGGAAGCAAAACATAATCACTGCCCGAAGTCCCTTCTTCCTTGTTCTGTCTCCTCTCACTCTTAGAACCCTCTTCCTCTCTCAAATGCAGCACAATTTCAGAGTCAGCTTCATCAACCACCGACGAGACGGAGTACAGCAAGGCTCTACTTCGCTCAGCATTGCCATCAAAAATTTGCGTCTCTTTCAACCAGCTGAATTCCACACAAGTTCACGAAGTTAAGAGGCAGCCTACTTTCTTCAGCGCCGTGCTCAAGATACCTCTAAAAGAATTTCCAATTTCAAAAGCCAAATTGAACTGAATCCCCTCTAGACAAGGACACCTACGAGTATCTTTTAACGCCATTCATATCAGTAACAACGGAGTTTAACTAAAATTAGCCATGAACCTTTATGATCAAATCCATTTCGATTTCAGGTGAGAAAGAGAAAATCCTAGAACCAACATCAAAGGACTTTCCAAAACAAGAACACTCCAATATCCTTTAAAAACTACAAGAAATAGTAATTACTTGAATTTTTTCGATTAAACTCATCATGCAACTTCCTTTTCCACATCTACTTCCCTCCCATTTCCCGGCAAACAGAGCAAGCAAACCACCTCTAACAACGATAGATAGCAACTAAAAGAAAAGCGCACCCGTATTTAACAAGATAGAGCTTGTCTCTATCTTCTCCTCCGCCGTCTACTTCTCGGGAAAGAGTATCGGAAGCGGGGACGACGGAGAGCGGGAGAGCCTGAGGGATGTCGAGGTCGAAATCGTCGTCGGCGAAGAAGAGGTCGTCCATGGAGGAGAAAATGACAGCTAGGGTTTTGGATACGACCAATTTGCAGAGGCGGATAGTGGAGTCAGACAACCTGGCTAGGCTCAACGAGAGAAAGCCCGCGGTGGATTTCGTGACGACGACAGGAAACCGGAGCTTCTCTGTGATTCGGCTCATAACAATAATATAATTATAAATAATTATACATATATAATAATCAAAATAAAGCAACTTCTACAGCAATTAAAAACTTTGGGTTTGGGTCTTAATTACGAATCTTTACTGTTAATTATTTTGATTAGTTGCTAAATAATCTTTTTTTAATTTTGATTTTAAAGGTAAATGCTTATAACTGTTTTTGCTGCGGTTGCCTGTTGGTAGGGGGGAGTTGCTTCTTAGGTGTCGTAGCTTTTCATTTTCCTTTTTTCTTCTGAGGGGATATTCGAATGGGTAAATAGCGAGTGTGCGTGAAGTCCACGCGCCATTTGACTGAAACAGAAACAAGGATAGGGGTGGGTATTTCACTGTCAGTTTCGGACGTGGATCCTAGACTCTTGTGGGGCCACGGCCGGCAATCGGGCTGTTAGGATGACGACACGTGGCATCCACTGCTCTAGAACCCACTGTTTTACCAAAAAAAAAAAAAAGTAAAAAGCTGCAGTAGCTGTTTTGATAAATTTTTGGATAAGATAATTTAAAATTTTATATTTAATTTAATTTTTTTATCAAACTTTATCTAAAAAAATAAAATAATTTTTTGGGCTTTTTTGGGATTTATTGGAGACGACCAAATTTCGGTTTCCTATACGGTCTTAATCTATTATGCTCTTTGGACCCAACCAAATTATGCCATATGGTTTTTGGGAGGTCTAAATTTATATATATTTTTTTTTCCCATTATAACATACTTTTTTGGTGAATTATTTAATATTGACGTCACGTGATTTTTTAAAAAAAATTAAATTAAAAATATCATAAAGTAAATTATTATAAAATAAAGTTATAGTCAAATGCATGGGATGGAGAAAAGAGTGGTGTCCATATAATTGCACCTTTTGAAATTGGCAGCTTCTGATATCAAAACCCATTATCGTAGACTGGGCCTGCTAATTTCTTTCTTTCCTTTTTTTTTTAATTTTTCTTTTCAGTAATTAAATACTTTTTATTTATTTATTTATTTAGAAATTGACTTAATTTCTTATATATTTTATTTCTATTAATTTTTTTATATTTATTCTGAATTTTATAGAACTTCCTTGATTATATTTTATTTCTATTAATTTATATTTTTTTTTCTTTGTTACATTCTTTCTTGTTTGTAACTCGTCCTTTCCGCTTGCTTGGTTCATCGAAATAAAATAATTCTCGTAGTATAAGTCCGTTCGTGTGGAAACAAACTCGTATTTTTTTTTTAATTAATTTTCGTAGGCGAATTGATTATATATAACTTTGAATTGAATAGATTTTTAAATTGAGTACGAATAGTTACGGTGCGAAGAATACCTTGCTTGTAGTATCTAAATACGTTGCGTTTTGAGATTCAACACAAGTTCATGCTTTCCTTTTGGCATTTGGGAAGGCAACAATAAATGTATCCTTCGCGTGTGTGTGTGTGTGCATGTGTATGTATACGTATATGTGTATATACGTATGTATGTGTTTTGAAAATTTACTCAAGACTATAGAAATTTAACCGCATGTAAAATTTGGAATACGATACACTAATTTCACGTTACCATATCCTACTAAAATTTTTATGGGTTTTTCAATGGAATAAAAATTCAAATTTATCAATAAATTCCATAAACTCTATGAATTTGCAAATGATACCCAATTCTTATCTTCAACAATAGTGGCTATAAAAAATATATTTGACAATAAAACTCAAATATCCCCTTAAAAGTCTTGAGAGATCAATCAAACCCATGTAGAAAATGTTATAACACACATATACATATATACACATACATGTGTATATATGTATACGTATATGTATATGTTTGGTTTAAATTTTGTGCTTGTGAAAAGAAGAAAAGGGGTCAAATGATGTGCTTGTATAGGTGCTTGGTGGAGGAGGTTTGAAGAACCAAAATGGTGTCAACGTATGGTTGATAGACTAGAAAGCAAAAAAGAAAAGTGTCCTCCAAAATGAAGGCAAAAATAATTTTATGGGAACCCTTATTTACCACTTGAGGAGCAAAATTAAAAGTTGAATTTTGGACCCTCCCCATTAATAATTTCCTTCATTCAAATCATGGTCCCAACCTATTTTGAGATCAATTTCAAAATTTTTACCCACCATTTCCTTCAATCTTAAGTGAATTTTGAAAAATTAATTAATTGAGTTAAACCCAATTTAAACAATGTAGTATATGTATAATTAATCGCTATTAATTACCCTATAGATTAATTGTTATTGTGCACGTTTATATGATTCTATAGACGTGATTTTGTTATATAAATATTTTTTTAAAAAAATATACATTAAAATAAATATAATGAATTCTATGTATCTAAATTTTCATTTGGCATGTGTTTTGAAATACTTTGTTGTTTTGCTATTACGTATTTGTATACATAAATGATATTAGTTAGAATCTATTACTTGAACGAAACTAAATATTATTAAAATTATGTTAAATATTTGATAATTTGCCTCGTAATTTGTCAAAAACTCTAATTCATACAAATTCTTTTCCCGATTAACAAAAAAATCTTGGCGGGAATTGTCACATATAAAATTAAACATAATTTTGAAGGGAAAAAAAAATAGTTCACTTATTTCTCGAAAGAAGATAGAAAACACGCTAAATATAATTTGATTAAATAGTTGATCTAACTCTTTTAAATTTTTTTTTTTAAATATTTAACTTCAATTAGTATAGTTATATAAAAGTAAATATGAAATGTTAAATTCAGTATTTCACTAAAATATTCAATAATTCAAATTAATTACAGACAACTCGAAATTGTTAATTCTCGATCACGTATATATTCACACGAAATCGTCCTCGCCTTCTTGCGTTTGCTTTCTTCTTAGGTTGCTTTTATGGAAAAGTTTCTTTCTTCTAATTTTGTACAATGCATGAACCATGTGAAAGAGAACCATGAAGATCAATTTAATTGCAACTTTAGGGCATATACACACACACACACAAAAATATATATATATGTACCTACCTTTGTATAATTAAAATATGAATTATTTCTATTTTAATCTTAATTTGAAATAGAGAAAATTAAAATTCTTAATAATATGAATTAAGAATTAAAATTTGCCATAAATGGAATTCAATCAATGATATATATTGAGTCAGCCTAGTCAAATTTTTCATTAATTTTAATATATATATATATATTAATTTCCTTTTTAATATTTTAATATTTTGTTACACGAAAAGAAAAACATTCCATAAATTAAAATTACATGGCTGAGCCATGTACCAGACAATGGACATATTGCATGTGCACTGGGCTAACGTCACGGTCGGTTACTTTTTCCCAAACAAAAATAATAATAATAATAATAATTAAAATAAAAGTAATATATAACTAATAATTTACATGACTAATTTTTTATTAAAAAAATTATAATAATTTTGTTACTCTCAAAACATAATAAAATAATTAAGATTTAAATTAATTTAGTTGATGTAATTTTATCAATATATTAGTAAATTAATTTTTTTTAATTATTATTATTATTTGGTGCTATTATTTATAACCTAATTAACCTAACGTTAATCATCTTAATTGATTATCTTTTCCTTTTATAAATTGCTAATTAAGATTAAATATTTTAATTATATTAATGATATAATTACGATAATGATACTAATCGTTATCCCGTTAATTAATAATTACCTTTTAAAAAAGTCTGAAAATAATATTCATATATTAGAATTTTACAAAGAATCATCACATTTATTTATCATTTAAATTTTTAATTTTATAATAACTTAACTTTACGCAGTTATCATATATATATATATACATATTATATAGTAATTTCTACTGTATTTTTTACCAATATATACATATATATATATAGATAGATATTGTGGTTGTATCGGCCTCCTGTTGCTGTAGTCTGCATCCCCAGCCTTTTTGTTTTGTGGCTGCCCTTAGATTTTGTCAAGTTTCAATGAGCTGTATAATTTTCATTTTATTTTATTTTTTTTATTATATATTTTTAGTCCTTTAAGACTGTTTTAAAATAATTAAATTTTTTTCCAATAATTTAAATTCAATATTACCATAACCACATTTTTTTTAAAGTAAAATTAAGAAATGCTTAGTAAGATAATTATTATTTAAATTAAAAAATGTATTTTATATATATATATATGTATCGTACTTATTTAGCTGGGCATGTCACGTGTCAGACGACCGCACTACTAGTGGACATTTTTTTTTTACGTCATGCACGCATAAAATATGAAAATTAGAAAAAAGGATGAATAAAAAAATAAATAAATATCAAGGGTGGTTGGTTTTGGCTGGAGAAAATAATATATAAAAATAAAAGTATTATTATATTATTTTATTTTATTTTATTTGAGTCGTACTAGCACTTTATTGACTATTTTCTTGCTGTATATATTATTAAATATTATAGAAAAATTCAAACTTAAAGATAAAAAATAAAGCAAAACGACAGAAGGGTGTGTCGCGAAAAGAAAATAATAAATAAATAACCAAAACGAGGTCGTTTTATATTTGTTTAATGTGTGCATTACAATCAGTCAACAGAAACCGTCAAAAACGTTGAATAAATCGATTTTTATTCCACCCGTTTCTGACTCATATCCAGCTGTTCTCCCCGTGTTTTTAACGGCTTGTTTGGTTTCTCAGAAACGGCCGTTCAGGTGAACTTAATACGCCGTTTTTAAATTTAGTCGTATGGATTTATATTACCAAAAACTTTAATTAAATTATTTTATCTGATTTTTCATATAACATTTATAAATTAAAATGTTTTTTAATTAATGACGTGGAAATCGTCGAATCGTCACAATTGCCAATGACGGGAGTTTTAGCCTACAGATAACTACACCGATCTTTGTCTGGTAGTGCCCGTTTATGGACGCGTGGCATTTTCTCATTGGCTGTTGTGAACAAAACCGTGTTTTATTAAGAAGGTAATTTTCACGGAGGGGGCCCACTCCACCCTTTTTGTTTCCGGTTTGTGGCTACTTTTTTGTCCGCATTTCGCTTTCGGCTTTTTGTTTTTTTTTTTTTTCTCCCCTCCGAGATGAAGATGTTTTGGTATTTTATTTTGTTTTCTTTTTTCATTTTTTTGACATTTTGTAAATTGAATTTATTAAGCATAGTTTTTAATTGAATATTATAACCACACATATATATATAAGTTTTTTATGATAAAAAAGTAGATAATTAATTACCAAATAATTTATTTTATTTTTAATATCTTAATTTATTTTCTTTCATAGTAATTTCACAAAATTATATTTAAATCTAAATTAATTTATTCATATTAAATCAAAAATATTAGATTTAAAACACAAGCGTACATGAATTTCTAGCAGAAAAAATCTACTAAATTAATGCGTAATCTTTTAGAATTCTCACACACTCTCTATTTATGGTGACACAAAAATTTTAATTATAATTTAAAAGTTATAACCGACTATTTATATTTTTAATTTTTTATTATTTATAATTTAACTCATCATAAAATTAGAAATAATACTTTTAGTATTTGCACATAAAAAAAAATTTAAACTTTATTTGATGTATTAAATTTTAATATCTGTTTAATTTTAACATATCACTTTTAAACAGTGTTAATCAAATTGACAGTCATTTATGCATTTTTAAACTCAAGTACCAGCTCACATATAATTTATTAAAATTTAATATTTTTAATATAATGATTTATTTTTTTAATACTATAATTTATTTTTATTTTAATATCATAATTTTTTTTTTATTTTTAATAAAAATGTTATATAAATATATTACAAATTAAATTATAATAAATATGAAAATTTGAAGATTTAATTTGACAATTTATGCTAATAAATAATACTTTAAAAATGTTTCATAGTGCATATTTCACCGCCATATATGTGAAATAATTATTGCGATGGATTAATTTAATATTAATTAACTAAAATAACGATAATAAGACTTGTTCATGATGGCTACTTAATTAATATTAATTTATTTTTTTAATTCCTTTTTTGTTACCTTTATATTCATTAATCTACATTCACGACCACCGCTAGCTTTAATTAATCATCATTATTAGTTAATTAATTTTTGCTTGGATTTTCAGTTTGTGGTTGGTATGGCCTATAGAATTACATAATATGTACGTATATATATATATATATATACATATATATATGTATATAATTTTGTATTACATGGGAGGCATGGGGTTGCATCATCCGTTAACATTATGACTTGGTGAATAAAGGCATTGGTGGTGCTTAATTATTACTTATTAGTCAATACTTTATATAGTCAATAAAGTGGCCTTTGCCTTGTGTCTCATTTATAGTGGACTATTAGATATATTAGTATATATATATATATATGTAGAGTACATATATATAATTGTGGGTATGTGTATACATCAGTCCACTAATTAATTTAAAATTAATATTGATTTTTATGGTTATAATTAATTTAAAACTAAGAATTGCAATTTGGCAAGAATGAAATGATTTTGCCTCAAAAATTGTAAGGCTATAATTCCACCAAGTACCTTCAAAATTCAAGCTGTAAAGCCATTGAAAAGGGTCCCCAATGAAATGAAGCTTCATGTTTGCTTCTTCTTCTTTCTCCCATTTCATGGCTATCCTTTTATATATATATATATGTATATATATGTATTTATATATATATATATATGTATACACACACACACACACATGATACCTATCCACCATTTAAAGCTAAAATCTAGATGATACGTAGTGGACATGTGATGCACATGCAAAGTCAAACCCCACACACATATACACACACACATATATACACATGTTATGGACATTATACAAGTAATCACTTGTTGTTTAAGGAAAGATTTACAAAATTTAATGGTTCCCAACTAATTATAACATCACATTGGCTTATAATTATTCATCGATCATCAAACTCTAATGAAAGAGTTAGGAAAATTATTGCATTTATAGTGAATTATTAGGACTAGTATTTTTAGGGTTTTCTTTAAATTCAATCAAATTATTTTGGGTTACTTATAAAATTATTGATGACATAATTTCAATTAGTTAATCCGATGGTATATAATCCACGATTTGTCTTTGATCAAATTGTTAAAATTTTAATTTTATACGAAAAATTTGTCTCGATAAAATAGTAATTAATAAATTTAAATTTAACGTGTTCTACAACTTTATTTATTATACATATTCAAATATTTAAAATATTATGTATTTTATTCCGTAATTATAGAGTTGTTTTTTTTTTCTATTAATACATATTTGATGTGGCTCAATGATCTAATATAATTTCTTTATTTGTTGAGTGTATTTAAATATAGTAAATGTGGTTGTTCTTTTTCTCTAAAAAAGAAAAAAATTCAACATTAGCAAAAATTATAACCTTAATATATTAATGGTTGTAATTATACATTATTCGTGTAATTCTATATATGATATTTCATTATTACTATATCCATATATTTTACAAATATAGTAATATGTTTTTATTCGTAATTTAAGAATTTTAAATATAAATAAAAAATGTGTAATATTTTTTACCCGTAATTTAAAAATTATAAATATAAATAATATTTATTTATTTGTTTATATTAATTATACAATATGTTTATATTACCATCTATTATTTTATTTAATGATTAGTACATTTTTAAAAAAATAATTGCGGGTTCAAATTTAATTTAATTTTCTTATGTATTATTATTTCGATGATATATATATATATATCATGGTATGAAAAGGATGTGAATAGGTTGAATAGGCTAACCTATTAAGAACAAAAATGACAAAGTTTGGTTGGGAAGGTAAATCTTTTATGGAAATGGATTTACTACCAAATATAATTTAGAACCAAAACTATATGTATATAATCCACACATTTGTTTTAACATTTAAGTTATATGGGTACGTTATATGTAAATTAAAGATGTTTTAGTATAATAATATAATTATATTACAAATTATTATATTAAAAGATAACTAAAAATGTAAAATTTAATTTAATAGTAAATATTAAATATTCGACAATACAAGAAAAAATTTTAAATATTAAAAATTTTTTAGTGTACTTTTTTTTAATTTCTTACATTAAAAATATTTATTAATTAAAAAATAAATAAATTTTAAACGAGTAGAAATTAGAATTTTTTTTTATAAATAATAATTATATGGAAATAATAAAAAAATGGCTACTCGAAAAAAAAAAAAAAAAGACGCCAAAAATTGGAAATGTATGTAAATATAAATAAATGTGAAAGGAGGACAAAAAGAACGGAAGTCAACTACCTGGTTAAAGACGGCGTTAATGCCGGGGGAAAAACCCGGTTATCCAACTCAGTTTTAACCTCGGAACTCCGATTTTTGTCTCTTTTTTTTTTTTTTTTAAACTTGGTGTTTTTTTTACCGCGGTTAAAAAAGTTTTTACCCACGCCACCAGCATATATACCCACTGTTTTTTCCGCCTTGATAATAAAATAAGAAGAAAGACTCTCTTTCCTTTCCCTTTCCTTTCTCTCTGCAAATTTCATCGCCTAAATAACGGCATATTCTTTCTAAAGCGAGAGAGAGAGTTATTTGACGAGAGAAAATCTTTGAAAATTTTGTACAATCTCCATTTTTCTATATCCTTTTTAACTGCTTCTTCAATATTTTGTAGAGATCCTAACCTTGTTTCTTTTTATAATTACTTTCTTTTTTGGGGTGGAGGAGGAAGATAATAGCATTTCAACACTTGGGTCGGTTGAGAATTCTCAGAAGTTGAGTTCTTCTTTCTTTTTTCCTTCTTTCTTGGGGTTTTGGGGTAACTTATGCGACGAAGAAGTGGGAAAAACATTGCAAGATTTTGGGTTTTTCAAGGATAATTTCTGAGGATTTTACGGTTGTTGTTCTCTTTGGTTATCGCGTTTTTTATTTAGTGGGTTTCGCCGTTTGCTTATTCTCTGAGAAATGGTGGTGAAGATGATGAGGTGGCGGCCATGGCCGCCTCTGGTTTCGAAAAAGTACGAGGTGAGGTTGGTTGTGCGGAGGCTGGAGGGGTGGGATCTGGTCCGTGTGGGTGTACCGGAGACGGAGAAAGCGGAAAGATTGACGGTGGAGATTCGCTGGAAGGGACCCAAGTTGGCGTTGAGTTCTCTCAGACGAACGGTGAAGAGAAACTTTACCAAAGAAGTGGAGGGTGTGGGACAAGACGGCGTCGTTTCATGGGAGGACGAAGAATTTCTGAGTCTATGCACTCTCTCTGCTTACAAGGAGAATGTCTTTCACCCTTGGGAGATCGGTTTCACTGTCTTCACTAATGTGAGTCTTATTTTCTCTCTCACCAAACAAGCCGTCTTCTTTTCTTTTCCCCCTTTGACTTTTTTCTATCTCAATTTAATTTGCTCTTCAAATTTTGTGAATTTATGTGTTCTATTTGGGAATTTAATGTGGGAGATCATCGCCGATTTCCATCAATCATATTTGGATTTTCCCTTTTGAGACACTAGAATTGGATTGGGTGATTTCTTTTTTATTCTTTTTTTTTTTTCGTCTAGATACCAGATAGGATTAGCTTTATGATTTTCAAATTTTGGATTTACTTGTCCAGGGACTCAATTATTGAATTGAAGCTTGATATGATTATGAGCTGTGATTCATGAATAAGAACGTATGTCTATTGTCTAGTAGTGATTATTGTTGTCTCTTGTGAGAATTTTACTCATTTCTAGGGTTTACACTGATTTTGGAATTACTTTTAGTATCAGTGGTGCAATTTTATTTGGTTAAATTCGGTTGATTTGATATTTGGAGGTAATTCAACAAATCAATATTGTGCATTATCGGAGTTGACTTTCGAGTTTGAGTGAGGGGATATTTCCAAGGGCATTGATCTGATATGTTCATTGTTTCAGAGAAGGACTTAATCATTGTTAGTGCTTTTCAGATTCATCTGTTTCAATCGTTAATTTCTTTTTTGTGGTTATAAATTCAGGGCTTTAACCAGGGACCAAAGAACAAGGTTCCTGTTGTCGGAACAGCATTGTTGAATCTTGCTGAATATGCTTCTGCATCTGATCAGAAAGAGTTCGAGTTAAGCATCCCCTTGACACTGTCTTCTGGCAATGCTGAGCCTCGTCCTATGCTCTGTGTAAGTTGTTAAGAATAGTTTTGATTGATGTGTATTCCATTAAATATTACATATTTATATATCTATATATATGCTTTCTAGAACCGAAAAAGAAATAAATAATTAATTACAAGTGAAATATTTTTATCCTTTAATTTGATTTGCTTTATTTCTAATTCCCTGATTATTTCCTCTTTTAACACTCTGATTTTCTGCATCTTTATTACCATGATTTCATTCATCTTTAGCACTTTGACTTATTTTCTCTTTAACATCTTAATTTACTTTCTCTTTAATATCTTGATTACTTCTATCTTTAACATAAATGCACCTGAATTTGTTCGGACAACTCTTTTCTTTCTCTTGTTTCTTGAAATTTTTCGATGATCAACTGATTCTGTGAGATCTTCAGATTTCATGATCTCATTCTTGTGTTGATAATACAGATATCTCTTAACTTATTAGAGCTGAGAGCTGCTCAGGAAGTGACAGAACCTGTACAGGGAGCAATAGTACCTGTTCAATCTCCTCTCCCGGCCGGAGAATCTATCTCGACAGAAAAGGATGAACTTTCTGCAATTAAAGCTGGTCTTAGGAAAGTAAAGATTTTCACCGGGTATGTTTCTGCCAGGAGAGCAAAGAAGGCTTGCCGTGAAGAAGAGGGTAGTGAAGGCAGGGGCTCTGCCAGGAGTGACGATGGTGAATATAATTATCCATTTGATTCGGATTCTCTTGATGATTATGAGGAAGGAGAATCGGATGAGGGCAAGGAGGATCCGAATGTTAGGAAGTCATTTAGTTATGGAACTCTGGCTTATGCAAACTGTGCTGGGGGATCATTTTACTCCAGTATGAGAATCAATGGGGAAGGTGAGGACTGGGTTTACTACAGCAATCGGAAATCAGACGTGGGCTGCTTGCAGATTGAGGATTCAACAGCATCTGCTTCTGACCCGTCCTTGTTACAAAGTTCAAAGCGTAGCATCTTGCCCTGGAGAAAGAGAAAGCTGAGCTTCAGATCTCCTAAAGCGAAAGGAGAACCATTGCTAAAGAAGGGTAATGGTGAGGAAGGTGGGGATGACATTGATTTTGATCGTCGACAGCTTAGTTCTGATGAAGCTCTTCCTCTTGGGGTAAGAAGCCAGCTTTATCGCTGTCATTTCCGGGTTTTAAAATCGATCCAATCTTTATGGTTATTGATAGCTGTAATTAACTGCTAGCTGATTTTGTTAACTAGATGGACATTTTGGATAGCGAGTTGGTTTTCTTTCCCTAGCTTTTCCTTCAAGCTTTGAAATTACTTTGCTATGCTATCAAAAAAAAGTCTAGGTTTCTAACCCGTTTTGCAAAAGTTTGAATTTGTTTCAAACATAGTCTTAATTTAGTTTTTGTATAGAGTACATATATATGATTTCTTGGATTCTCTCATCCTTTACTTGTATTTCCTCTCTTCATATGGAATCAAAAGTCTTAAATTCTGACTGCAAGGTTTGTGAATTCATTTTGGCAGTGGTACAAAACAGATGAAGATTCATCTGCTAATCGGACATCAGTTTCTGAATTTGGAGATGACAGTTTTGCTATAGGCAGTTGGGAACAAAAAGAAGTTATAAGCAGGGATGGACATATGAAACTCCAGGCTCAGATGTTCTTTGCTTCCATAGATCAGCGGAGTGAGCGGGCAGCAGGTGAGAGTGCATGCACAGCCCTTGTGGCTGTCATTGCTGACTGGTTTCAGAATAACCGTGATCTCATGCCTATTAAATCACAATTTGATAGTCTAATTAGAGAAGGCTCGTTAGAATGGCGTAACCTCTGTGAGAACGAAACT